CGCCGGGGGGGCCATGCGCCAGGCCGCGCCCGCAGCCCGGGGACCCGGCGCAACTCGCCGGGCAGCCTGACGAGTTGGGGTGGCCGGGGCTCGGCGCCCGGCCGCCTTTCTTACCCTTCGCCAGCCCGGTTCCACGGGGCCGTGGAGGAGGGGCTCGAGTCCCCCAACCCCCTGAAGTCCCGAGCCATCCCTGCGGGTCCCGGCCCCTCTCCGAGCCGCACAACTTCCCAGGAGCCGGGGCCAAAGTGCGCGCAAAGTGCTGCCCAAGTTCCCGGGATGGAGCTGCAGAGCCGGCCGGAGGCGCTCGCCGCGGAACTGTCCCGCCACCAGGTAGTGGCCGGGTGGGGGCTCCGGGCCGGAGAGGAGACCGAGCAGGGGCAGCCCCCGAGCCCCGAGCCTTCTGTCCTGGGGTCGCGGGGTCTCGGGCTGGGCCCCCAGTCCTGGCACCTGCGGGAGACGGGAAGTGCGCTCAGCACCTACGCGATGTCCCCTGAGCCGGTGCCCGCGATCGTGCACGGTGGGCTTGGGGGCGCAGGGGGGCAGGATTCCGCTTTTCTCAACCTTGCTGCGGGGTCTGCGCTACGCTCCTAGGGTACGCCAGGGGGCCCCGCGGGAGCTCTCCCCGGGAGGTGAGCAGGCAGGACCCCCTCGGTTCCCGTGGTCCCCACGTCCGCACACCTCGCAGTGCTACAAAGTAGTTTTGGCGACGGTCACCGGGCGGGTGGCGGCGGCGTGGCGCCAGGGGCCGAGCGGTGTTGCGGCGCGCGAGTGTGTGTGTGTGTGTGTGTGTGTGTGTTGGGAGATTAGGACGCGACTTGAATATTTATGAGCTTTGCTCGACACGGACTCGCCGTGTTTACTTGGCTCTTTGTTCCTCCCCCCTCCCCTGGCACACACTCACACTCACACTCGTGCACACGCACCCCGGCCTGCGCACTTGCACGGCTCGGGGCGCGCCGCCGGGTGGCCTGCGCCCCCGCCCCGCCTCACGAGGCGCCCCGATGAGGCGGCAGCCACAGGTAAGCGGCACTGCCCGGCCGCCGTGCGCGCGCGAGACGCGATCGGGAAACTTGGGGCGCGTCGGGGCCCCCTCCCCGCACCCCGGCTTCAGTCTGCACCTCCTTGTCTCCGCAGAACGGCGACCTCAAGAAGCAGCTTCACGAAAGGCAGCCGCGGATCGCAGCGCTCAGCGACAAACAAGTAAGCGAGGGGCCTGGGTCCCCCCACGCCCCTTAGGCCAGGACCCGGGAGGGGTCGCTGGGCGCTCTGGCAGAACCCTAAAAAGTACTGCGTGGGCGCTCCCCGCGCAGACTCCCCCGGAGGTCTGGCCCCGGTCCTCAAAGTTACGGTCCTGTTTCCCCCTTTCTGCAAAGAAAGAGCCGGGCGGTGGCGGCGGGGTAGGTGGGGAGCGCGGCCGGCAGTGGCCGAGGGGGGCCAAGCTGCACCTCGAAGCCGGGCGCCGGCGTCCATCTTGAGTTGGTGGCCGTGGTTTTGGGACCGTGGAGATTCCCCGGCCCGCGCCACGCCGGGTGGGAGGGGGCGGCGGGGCTGCAGTTCGGGCCTGCTCGCCGCCGCGCTCCTGGGAAGCAACCTCTGGGTCCCATGCAAACCCCTTTTTCTAAAAGCTCTTCCTCTGAGCGCCTCCTCCCCAGCACTTCGCCGGCTTCACTTTTTATTCTTGGAAGCTGACGCCAGCTCCCGTGGAACAAAAGAAAGGCACCCCAGGACCCCGTCTCCGTTCTGCCCCAACTTTGGTCTCTGGGCCTTAGGGGTAGAAGAGGACCCACAAGAAGCTCCCGCAGTGGGGAGGAGGACGCGGCCGCCGACCCCCCTCGCGCCCCGCCGGGGAAGAAAAGTTGTCCATTGTGACTTAGTTGCGCTGAGCTCAGCGCTCCGGGTTTCAGCACCGCGAACAGATGCCGCGGCGGAGCCCGGCCGGCCGCGCGCCCCCGCCCCGCCCCCGCCCCTCCCCCGC